ACACCTATCACCAGCACAGTGACTTGAGGTCACATATAACCATTACCATCGGATTTGGCGTGAAAAATAAGCCATAAAACATGTGTCGCACGCCCATGTAGCAGAAAGTGAAAACCGTGACCTTTCGTGACCTGACCTGACCTTGACCCGTACTTAGTATGACCCCTATACGCACATGGTACCTTCACTAGGTCTTTGAGGTCATTTGTGGTGATTTTCGAGCAGCAGCTATCGATTCCGCTGTCCGTAAGCCTAATCATGCAAAACCCCTGAATTTGACCTTTGACCTGACCTTGACCCGAAAGTTGACCTCAATCTTAAAATCTTAAGAGTGCTTTGGGAAGGTCTCGTAGAGACCTTTCGAACGCCGCCTCGCGGGGCTCGATACGACCATTGGTTCTCGAGATAACAGGGGGGGGTCGGATCCGACCCCCCCCCCCCCAGGCTGATGTGGGTACGGAAATAGCCCAGGCGGTGCCGGGTTAACTGCACAAAAATTTGCTAGGCTCAGTTGGGCAACGGCTGGCTGGTGATTGCATGTTTTTTATTTGCTGCTTTCAAAAAATATTTTGGTGTCAAAACATTGTAAATATCAAGGAAAGTAGATAATTTTTGCGTCCCTTGCTATAGTCGTGATAAATTAACATGCGTGTACTGTGTCCCAAACAGTTTGTTTCAGGGTGTAGTTTCATGGCTAACAAATTGTACTGATTTAATGTTACCTCGGTACCTTGGGGTAAGATGCCCCCTGTCCTGATGGGGAAAGACGCCCCCTTAAATCCGTAGGCTGTCCATCAAGCAGCCCGTCAAATCATTTATTACATACCTGTGATGAGAGACAAAAGCCGATCTGGGACTATTGAGAGTCCAGTACGGTCGGGTGCTCCCCATGCCGGTCTCTCGGCCCACACAGCGACTTTTTGGGCGGCATCTGACTTTGAGAGCCCTTACGACGGCCTCTGTGGGCCACATTATTGGCTCCAGGGCCCCTCACGACATCCTTTGAGGGCTCCCACGTTGGCTCCACGGGCCGCGCTGGCATCTGAGGTCCCCACGATGGGCTCGAGGGCCCTCAAGCATCATGAAGACCTATAAGGGCCCCACAGTGGTCTCCGAACGCCACCACAGAGGCTTGTTTGGCCGCGCTGGACTATGATGGCCCTAACGATGACCTCTGAAGCCCCTTACGACTACTTTTGAGGGCCCTTACGATGACGTTTGGTGTCTACTGCAGGCCCGAAGGGACTACTGATTCGTTCAGGCGATTCACGTGCCCATTTATGTCACTTATAGTGCAGGGGGCATCTTACCCAACGCCAGGGGGCGTCTTTCCCACCCTGCGGGGTAAGATACCCCTTTCACTTCTTCAGGAAAATGCTTAATAGCAAAAAAAGTTATCATATTTCAAGCACGAAAGTGTGACTTTTTTGGAGAAAAATGATGTCGGCTTCCGTTGAAACTACAAGTTTTTGCTTTCCGATCGTCATTTTCGAATAATATATGACATAGTAAAACCCTGGGCATCTTTCCCCACTCTCCCCTACGAATCGTTTTCGGCACCCGCTACGCGGGACAGCCTTGACCGCACGCTTCCTGTCACGCACCCCAGGTGGCACCGCACTGGTGCGCACGCTGGGGCTATCCCGATTTCTCGGGCCCGGCAGGTCAGAGGGCTGCTCCGGGACATGAAGCGAGGCCGTGCCCTCGGGACATGTCACCGGACCGAAGGATCTGTTTAAAGGCGGATCAGGCCCGTGTACCTGCGGCCGGGGGCGCTGACTGGCACAGCGTTAATCCCCATTCCCCACGACCGAGCGAACACTCCCCAGTTACTGCCATCTCCTGGGTAGGAGCCGGCCGAGGAAAACGCTGCCAGAGGTCAGCTTTGATCCAAGGACCTCCCACACCAAACGTGAACGCACTTGCCAACTGCGCCACAAGGGTGGTTAAGCTGAGTTGTGAGCTGGTGTGAGCTGAATTGTGAGCCAGGTGGTGAAAGATGGCGCTTCAGCCGACACCACCTGGCACAGATTGAATATCCGTCACGCTGTTTTTTCTAGGACTGTTGTGACAGGTCAGGTGCCAGGCTGTCTGGTTCCGTCGGAAAACACCTGCCACGTGTCATTATGACGGAGCTGACAGGACACCTCTGCTGACAGGGTGGGTTGATAGCGCCGAGACAGCCGTCAGATTTAGCGGGTGACATGTTTGTCAACATCAATTGAGCCAGGCACTGTTAAAGATGCGAGTAGCTCCTTTATTACCGCTTATCAAAGTAAGTTTTCATTATGCCTAAGATTATGCGATTATGGCATTATGCCATTATGCCTATGTGCAAAGCAAGCATCAGAGGATACTTACACGCAAACTAAGCCTGAGCAACGGCTTCATTGAAAATTTTGTCCGACCATTGACGAATGATCGAAACATTATTTCACAATTGAGAAAGCATGAGATAGAAAAGAAGACTCGGGCGATATTATGTCCTGTGACAATAGCCACTCTATGCAGCGGAATTGCCTTACGATGTGAAATAAATAAATAAATGAATAAATAAATAAACACATATTTGTTGCTAAAGCTATCAGTCAAGATAAGAATTACTTTGCCTTCCATGCTAGCCGCAAAAAAAACCTTCTCTACACATGACCACTAGCAAGCCGTCATTTTGGAAACAGAAATTCTAATCGGAAACAAGCGATGAAGCCACATTATACCAAAAATGTCATGAAAATCAGCCAAAAGCTCATATATGCGGCAAAAAGCAAACGCATCATACTAACCAATGGCCTGGGCTCATTTTCTCATTTTACAAAACATCCAGACCTCCAAACTCAACCCCCGAGTTGCTGGATGCTAAATGCCTCCATTTTTTTTTTTTTTTTCGCCACACTGTATACAGTGTGGCGCAGTCTTTTTAGCTATAGCTAAAAAGACGGCGCGTCGCAGGCCCGCCAAATTCTGGGTACCTACTTATAGGAAAAAGCTCGGAAGTTTATTATGACCAAATTTCACACACAAAAAAAAATGTTGGGAAGGTTTATGAGGCATTGAGGTTTTAGTGACGCCATGACTTCTGAGTTTTCGACCAAAAACGGCATGTTCGATGTAATACGTTTCTTAAATTGATCTTTTTCGACCGAATACGTACTTGTATAATAAAATGAATGTCACAATCGTGCTCTATGCCAAAAAGTACACATAAACATGTGTCATATGCTGCGAATGCCAGTTTTGATTTTCGGAAATATGTCTCTACCTGATTGCTCTGACCTGGCCTATGCTTGACTGACCCGTACATGGATCTGGCACTCGCGAAGCACTTATATGAAAGATAGTGCACAGTCTTGACAGAGTTTATGACGAGAGACGCCCAGTATGAAGTTCTAAAGTCTACTCGTAGGCTACTGAAAACCCAATTTCAGGTGTTTGACCTGACCTTGACCCGATCTGTGACCTCGAAATTCAACTTTCAAGTATTAATCCGAAGCGTCTTGTCCCGTTCTTTCGCTTGCAGCCTCGCGCGTTGCGCTGCACCTATTGGTCTCGAGTTATAGGCTGAGGGCTATTAACGCCCCCCCCCAGCAGCTGCCGGGGGGGGGGGGGCGGAATGCCCGATGGCAACTACCGCGGTAACGTGAGACGAAGTTGATACAAGTATCGTTCCACTGCAATTTGCAAAAGCTCGGAGTTACGTGTTTTTGTTTCTATTCGTGCCAGCCTGGTGGGTGGCGTGTTGTTTCAAGTACGGTAGAGCGCTGTTTGTCCTTAAGCCACATGCTCAGTACATAATGGGAACAGACTACATACATGGTGGGTCCACTTTGCTCGGGAATAGCCGCCTTGACTCGGAGCCAGGCATGTATAGCGACTCAACCTCTGCCAGATCCCTGATTAAACCAAAGCAGCATGAAATGAGCATTATCACTTCAGGTGACAATAACCCAACCAACTACGTGTTTCCGGTGAAAAAATCCACTGAGCTTCCAATAATCCTGAGGACATTAATACGCATCAACTGATAGCAATCACCTGAACCATCAACAAAGCTCGCTGCATTTCCCTGACTCCTTTTCGCGTTTCACAACACCTTCTTGTGTGAAATTCTGGTAGGTATATGACTACCAACTATGCGCAATATAATGAGGGTCTCATTACTTTGATGGTCAACGCCCATCAATTTTATGACCTATTTACCAAGACAACGTTAACGTATGCGTCATGGTACAGTCAACAGGCCGAAAGCCACCTGCCAGGGGGCGTCAGACATGCCCAACTAAGGAATCAGCCACCATGAGCTCTATGGGCTATCAGAAGTCCACTGATTCGCTGATAAAGCACGCATATGTGTCGATGGCCAGAGATAAGTTCTTCATTAACGTGTTTATGCTGCTTATTAGTTTAACAGTGAGCTCTGTTTGTGACAGCCTAATTGATAAGTTGAACGTGGAATGTCTGCGACCTGAGTAAATAGATTGCAATGGCTAGCTGAAAAAGTAGGCATATGGTTTCATATATGACAAAGAGGCTTTTTTGTGTATGGAGGTTATGGTAGGTAATTGCAAAAATGCGGCACCGGGTACGGCAATGGCATTGTGAAGAACAACTTTGTATGTAGTTTAAAATGTCTTGATGCATAGTCGGGAAACGATGTCTGATAAAACATGCTGCGATCTCAATCGATTAGGAATAAAAGAGAATCCCTCATTTCGTTGATTTTGAAATACTTCAATTTGTGCTCATTATCCCGGCTTATGAGACGAAGGCGAATTTCCTCAGTATGAATCATGTACCCGGTGACCCCACTGTAATAAAAATCAAACAATGCCTTGCCGGAATGACGAAACAGGTCCCCTAAAAGCAGTACGTACAGAGCCCATCCATTTGCATCCGTCTCAGCAGAGCTAGCAGAGCCAATCAATAAAAATCCGTCAGCGGAGGTCAGGACCATCACGATACGACGTCGGCCCGTCTGGTCGGGCGGCGGCGCCGACGGGCCGTCACGAGCGGACCATGAAGGAGGACCACACAGCGGGCGGCCAGATCGGGTCACCAGATCGCCGACCGAGCGGGGAGGGTCCGCGGAGTGCCGGCCGGGCGGGGAGGGCCGGCGGAGCGACCCGGGCGGGGAGGGCCGGTGGAGCGTCCACCGGGCGGGGAGGGTCCGCGGAGTGCCGGCCGGGCGGGGAGGGTCCGCTGAGTGTCCACCACCGGGCGGGGAGGGCCGGCGGAGCGACCCGGGCGGGGAGGGCCGGTGGAGCGTCCACCACCGGGCGGGGAGGGCCGGCAGAGCGTCCACCACCGGGCGGGGAGGGTCCGCGGAGCGTCCACCAGGCGGGGAGGGTCCGCGGAGCGTCCACCAGGCGGGGAGGGTCCGCGGAGCGTCCACCAGGCGGGGAGGGTCCGCGGAGCGTCCACCACCGGGCGGGGAGGGTCCGCGGAGCGTCCACCAGGCGGGGAGGGTCCGCGGAGCGTCCACCAGGCGGGGAGGGTCCGCGGAGCGTCCACCAGGCGGGGAGGGTCCGCGGAGCGTCCACCAGGCGGGGAGGGTCCGCGGAGCGTCCACCAGGCGGGGAGGGTCCGCGGAGCGTCCACCAGGCGGGGAGGGTCCGCGGAGCGTCCACCAGGCGGGGAGGGTCCGCGGAGCGTCCACCAGGCGGGGAGGGTCCGCGGAGCGTCCACCAGGCGGGGAGGGTCCGCGGAGCGTCCACCACCGGGCGGGGAGGGTCCGTGGAGCGTCCACCGGGCGGGGAGGGTCCGTGGAGCGTCCACCACCGGGCGGGGATGGTTCGCGGAGCGTCCCGGCCGCCGCTGGGACCGACTGCATTACTGTCACAGACAGACAGGCCTTCGGTAAACTTCGGCTGTCGGTCGGGCGGTTCGGTAAACTTGGGAGGACTGTTGGCCGGCCGGGCTGTTGATCGGGAGGGGGGGCGGGGAGGGATGAGACTTCGGGAGGGCTGCTGATTGGGGGGATTAGGACTTTGGTAGGGCTGCTGATCGGGAGGGGGAGGGACGGGACTTTGGGAGGGCTGCTGTTCGGGAGGGGGAGGGACGGGACTTTGGGAAGGCGGTCCGAGGATGGGGATTGGGGAAGTTTGCTAGTCGAACTATCAGTAGGTCGGGACTCGGGAAGGCTGTCGGTCGGGGGACTGGGAGGTCCGGGATGTGCTGCTGGTCGGTCTATCGGGCTGTCTGTCAAAATGTCCGTACTAGCTAATTGTAATACATTACTCATAACATTATTTGTCATTTGTACTGTCTGAGTATCTGTCTTCTACTCATAATTAAGTATCTGATCACGTGGCTGATGTTTGCATGTCTGTACGTACGTCTGTCTGTCGGTCTGTCCATATGTGTGTGCAAATCTGTATGTCTACCGCATACTCCATCATCGAGAGTGAACTTTCGACAGGACTGTTTCTTGGAACCTCTCCAGTTTTGGAGTGCGATTCTTGCTTTGCTGCTGACCAGCCTATGAGCCTAGTGACATGACCCTAGAGACAGCTGGGAGGACAGCATAATGTCAGATGATTTTAGCGTCCTACGAGCCACTCATGACCTGGAGATCACCAATGGTCATAGCGAGTTGGCACCGATCCAAATGATATCACCAGTCACCAAAGCGACAGGTAGGTAAAAGAAAGATCATAAGAAACTCCGACATCCATTGCGGACTGTCATTACCGATAGACACATTAGTTGAGCGGTCATTTATGTCAACTAAAAACAATATAAAATGATTCATGAGTTATGGGCAGGGCGTGCTCTCTATCCCAACCGCGGCCCACAAGTGCAACCAGAATGATGAATGAGAGATTACACTTCCTGATTTTTTATCCAATTAGTGGCATTGTTATCCCAGGCCTTGGGTGGTAACTGAACGTTGAGCTAGGTCTTTTCCTGAACAGGGACGCACGTCGCACAATTGTAAAATATTCTCACTCGTTCACGGCCAGCTAAAGTGCATGTATTATCGATCATCGATGACAGGTTGAAAATGTGACGTTGAGAGATATGGTCAACGTTTATCACAGCAGCCAAACTCATCCATTCATTGTCAGCATAAATGGCCTGTCGCTGTGTGCAGTCTGAGCCTGAGGTCAGAGTCGGCCGGGCTCCGGGTACCGCCACCCTATCACATATGATCGGAGCTGCGGTCAGATTCGATTTCATGTATTCCGGAGGGTCGGAACCATATGCAGATGGACCGGCCCGGCGCGGGGCCACCGGCGGCGGCACACGCGGCAGGTCTGCAGCCGGATTGCAGCCGATTCGTCATGTCAGACGCGTGTCGCTGCAAAGCTACATGGACGAGTGCACTGTGCGTGTGGCCCGACATACTGGTCCGTACCGCTCAGCCGGCGGACACGACCGTGTCTTACCGAGCGGTGAAACCGTTCCAACGGTGACCAATGAGAAAAATACGGCGCCCATAAAACGGCTGATGGTGGTCCGCACCACGGTATTGCGGGCTGAAACCAAACGGAATCGATGTCCAATCAGACCTACACCTCCAGTAATGAGTGTTCGCCGCGCCGAACACGACTGACTCAGAGGACATGTGTGGTCGCGGTTTGTCTCGGAATAGCCCACATGAACAACACTTAGTGACGTCATCTCGTCACCACAGCGCCGCGTTGGCCGCAAAAACCACGCCGTGCGAGCGCGCCGGGCAAAGACACGACCTCATTCAGCGGGAAGTGACTAGTCCCAAACTCTCAAACAAGTTGATACGTTCCTTTTTACGCGGCCGGACATTTTATTGCACTGCAACTGACAGTTTCGCAAGGAGTGAGTACGTCGGGCAGTGGAGGTTCAGTGCAGTTTGCGGTCGCGGCTCAGACGGGTCCACGGCTGATCAGTGATCGCGTCTGTCGGCTTACACGCTCGCCGGCTACCGTGCGTTGTTCAGCGGCCACTGAGGACGCTGGGCAGACCTGCATCTGCAGACAGGTGGCTCAGAGGACCGCTGTCGCGTCATCAGACGACAGGTTACGACGTGGTCAACAATCATGGTCGTTATCGGGAGCTATTGCCGGATCCACAAGCACCTCGTGTTATCCGCAATAGCTTGATATGTTTTCAGAGTTTCGTTCAGAGTGTTGAGATAATTAAAGGTCACTGGAATTTCCGGAAAGAATACCGTTCTTGCACGGTTTATTGTAGGGTATGTCTGATGTTTTGGCAGTACATACCTAATCTCGGCAGGGAAACTACGCAAGGCCCATCAATGTTAGATTCGTGCCTTGAGCCCATGTATACTGTTCAGACACATGCATTAGAAAGATAACTTACGATAAAAACAACAAATGTTCCGATATCATCTATGAATCTGTTGAGAGGGAGAGAGAGAGATGGAAAGAGAGAGGGGGAGAAAAAGAGAGAGAAAGAGAGAGAGAGGGAGAGAGAGAGAGAGAGAGGGAGGGAGGGAGAGAGAGAGAGAGAGAGAGAGAGAGAGAGAGAGAGAGAGAGAGAGAAAGAGAGAGAGAGAGAGAGAGAAAGAGAGAGAGAGAGAGAGAGAGAGAGAGAGAGAGAGAGAGAGAGAGAGAGAGAGAGAGAGAGAGAGAGAGAGAGAGAGAGAGAGAGAGAGAGAGAGAGAGAGAGAGAGAGAGAGAGAGAGATTGAAGTTCGGTTGTGCATGACATGATGCAAAGGCGCTTGAATTTGCTACTGGTGAAATCCGTGCAGGGCATCAACCATGCCATACAATGTTTTAAAGTAAACATTTGAGCTTCATTCTTCAGTAATGGCTCTTATCCATGCCTACATTTTCCCAGCCTTCCGCAGAATATGAGAGGAAATCAGCACCAAGGATTCAAGAAAAGAAGATGATAATACCATTCATCATCAGACATCACCCATTCTGACCAGCCTTGACGGTCAGTCGCCTCAAAACTTTTGGTCAGTTTCCATATGCTAGAATTATTTCACGGGCCTATCTATGGCAATGCCTACCTGCCTAAGAAGGCCCCGAGCCGCCTTGGCTCCCTTTACGTGCTATGATATTATTGTACTTACATATATGGCTGTCCAGGCCTTTCTAGCGTGACTTGATGATAAAACGAACACGGTTAACTGACAGCGCGGCCCGCAGATTCTCGGTACGTGTTCTTGGGGTGCGGGCGACGCGCCTTTCCCATGGTTCCCATCCATTAGTTGCCCACCTCACCAGTAGGCGTGGCGGCCGATCAGCCACCCCCGGGCCGGTACATGATGTCGTTAAATGATGTCACTGTGGACACAGGTGGTCTTAGCGTGGGACGCCTCTATATAGGACCTTTGGTGACGCCCAGTGCAACGGACAAAATGTCTGCAAATGTAACGGCAGGAGTTCATAGTTGTAGATATTTGTTGGTAATCATCTAAAAGCAGCCATTAAAACACTTTTCGTGGGCGTGAGACTGCAATTTAATTTTATCATTATCATTCACCGTGACTTATGTTTTGAACTCATATCAAAACGCTCTACACGTATGTCACGGACGCTTTGAGTGATGACCTGTAGGAATATGGAGAAAATGCATAGGTGTTTTCTGAGTTGTAAAAGTGACCAGATTGCCAACATGATTCTCGGCAATGATCAATGCTCACAATTAAAAAAAAGCTTGATGCGTGCTTCCTGTGATTATGATGCCTAGCTCAGCAGGATAGTTGGCTTCAATTAACTTGCAATGGATTGTTGAGCATTGAGCAATGAAAAGCACAGCCATGAAACATTGAAGATTTTGTTTTCTACTGCAATGACACAATTTATTCCGCAGAGCAGTTTGTCGACGGGCCAAATGCTTTGCGAGTTCTCGATCTTTAGAAGCTTCAGCATGTTGCAAAATGTAAGACAACGCGTTGTCTAGTTTCTTGGTAGAATCACTCCCCGTAAATGGATTCGAATTGTGACATGTGGTGGGGCCATAAAAGTGCCTGCACATGGATATGTGACCTCAAACACATGCCCTAAAAATATATATCTTCGCGGAGAATGGATGCACGTCACCTCAGAACGCCTGGCCTCTACAGCCCTTCATATGAGCGGCCATGATAAATTTCATATATCCTCCTTTCCAGTCACATTTACCAAGAAAACTGAGCAAGCAGGAAAACTCTAACGGACACGAAGAAACAACTGATTCCGTTGTGAAATGATGTCTACTTAACTACGTGCTCATTAGCAGAAATGTTCCCCATGAAATTTCGTCATTTGAACAGCGGTGGTATCTCAACACACTTTTACTGCACAACAAAACATCTTTGCTGCATGTCATGATATAGCCAACCATGCATGTTCGCGTAGTCAGCACTTTTCGTTGAGGTATTTTAGTCAGGTGCTGGTGCAACTTTAAAGCAATAACTGAGCCAATTGATAAAAAGTTGTGTAGCCTTGGTGTATCAACTGACGAAAGGAAGCATGCCGCGACCGAAATTTCCCAGCCAATACAATCGGTTTCGGGAAGTCATTAGTGCGACTAATGGTAAGTCGCCTTAGCAACACGGCAGTAATCCGTCTGGTTTAGCAATTGATAGGGTAAAGGTCAGACTGAGATCGCTGCAAGCAGCCAGGGTATATAATTGAAGAAGACGAGCGAAGCATGTTGCATTGCATTATCACCCAAGTGCACATAGAAAAACGCAGAAGTGTGCATAGAACAAGAAGCAGAGTCGAGGTGATCGACAGCTTTCAAGATACACCTGAGAAGGCTCAAATGACACGGATGACATATGTGTAACTCATATACGATGCGATATTAGTGCATCTGTGAAAAGCTTTGCCGCAACTCATTTTATAATAATACAGGGTGTCCCAGAAAAAAGTACCACATTTGTTTAGACAATATATTTTTTGTTATTCGGCACTAATGCTTTAAACGCATATCAAAAGCGAGCCAGTTCCATGGAGATTTATTTGCGCTACAAATGGGCCATGCCACTCCTTCCTGTCACTCACACCGGCACATGTTCGAAGTGCCTGCCTTCTTGGGCCAGGCACCGCTCCGCCCTGCACCTGGCTTCCTCTGCGACCCGAGCACATGCGGAAGGTGGAATCGCGCGAATGGCCGCGCGAATCGCCCGTTTCAGTGTCGCTAGGTCTTCTGGTGCCTCCTGATACACCACACTTTTCAGATAACCCCACAGGTAAAAGTCGAGGGGCGTGAGGTCAGGAGAGTGCGGCGGCCAGGTCACCGCGGCCCGTCGGGAGATGACACGCCCCTCTAGACACTCGTGCAGCCAGGCCAAGTTGGCGCGTGATGTATGCGCCGTTGCGCCATCTTGCTGCAGCCATTGCTGGTTCAGGGTGTCCGCACAACTCGCTGTGAGTGCCCGCAAAAAGCGTTTAAGCATGGTAAGGTAGCGCCGGGAATTGACAGTGACCGTCTCGCCAGCACCATTTTCAAAAAAGAATGGGCCGATGATTCCCTGCGCGCTCAACGCGCACCACACAGCCACCTTCGGGGAATGCAGCGGAGCCTCGAGAACTTCCTCTGGTGGCCGTTCCGCCCAAAACCTGTAATTTTGGCAGTTCACTTGCCCGTTCAGATGAAAATGGGCCTCATCAGACCACCAAACACAAGACAAGAAGTTTGGGTTGTTTGTGCACTTTTCCAAAAACCATTTGCAAAATTGTTCCCTCTGCTCAAAATCCGCAGCAAACAGCTTTTGAGACACTTTAAGCTTAAAGGCAGATAAGGCGAGATCCTTCTTGAGAATCCTGTGAGTGGAGGACTTGCTGAGACCGACCCTAGACGCGAGGCGCCGCACCGACACTTTCGGCGTCTGACCAACCTGCTCTGCGACCTTTCGTATGGCCTCCTGGCTGCGAGATGTTTTTTCCCGACCACTGTTTCCAGCATTCTGGTTACTAATGGACCCTTCTGCCAGAAACTTCTCAGTCAGACGCTGTATGGTCTTTATCGTTGGAGCTTCTCGGACCTTAAAATGTCTGCGATACTGCCTTTGCCTTAAAACGGCTGATCCGTGTTTAACCCGCGCCCCACTGGGGTCTGCGTATAACACGCCCTACTGGGGGGGGGGGGGCTATTCATATCCCCCCTCCTAACTCCGAAACTACTGGGCCGATCGTCAAAATTCAAACGGCGTCTGATAGCCCCGGAAAAACTGTCGAGCGAAACCTAATTTCATTGACCTCGAGGTCACCGATGACGTCACAGGTCAGGTCAAAGTAAAAATTATTAGCATTTTGGATTCTTCACGTTTTGGGCTCTGGCCGCCGTCTTACAAGTCAGATCAGGCTCATTTTTGGTTCACACACTCGTGAACAGATGCTCTAGATACTCTGAGGGTACCAAACTTGTACTTTGATTTTCAGGTCAAGGTCAGGTCATCACAGGTCACGAAAATATTATATCATCCGTCGGTCACGTGACACATGTTTTATGGTCCATTTAGGCCAAACATTTCGAATTTGATGTCATCTGTGTCATTCGAGGTCATTTTGAGTCAAATTTAGCTCAGGTCAGGTCATTTACAGGTCAAAAAAGGTCAAATTTTGAAGTTATAATTTTTCAACAAAAAAGGTGTCTATTGGATGCAGTTTGAGCTCAGGAACACGATGGTGCTATTTATATTGGCGTACGATGTCAAACTCGTGCTGAAAAATTGATTTGAAAAATTAATAATTGTTAATTTTTTGCAATAATGCGTATAACTTGGCCATTTTTAAAGATATTTAGCTAAAACTTGCTAGACTTAGTCATAATAATGCGTTCTATCACATATATTCCGGTTTTTTCGAAAAGTCAAAAAGTTTTTGAAAAAAATATAAAAATATAAATTTTGAATTTTATTATATACAATTTTCGGAATTTTCAAAATTTCGAAAATCCGAGATAGCAGTTTGATAGCGCAGTCTATTCTGAGTCCGCTCATGCAAAGAAATTGGATCTAGCTTAAAAACTGAGCTCTTGGGAGCGATTGCCGTGGTTCAATGTTTTGCGTCGAAATCGGCCGAACATGACGTCACTCTGACGTCATTTCCGGCTGACCTATGGTAGGTACGAAGTTCAAATTTTGACACAAGGTGTCAAATTGATGCAGCCGAAGGTGCTGAAAGTTTGGCGTCGATACGTCAAGCGGTTTGGAAGTTATTGCAGAAAAACGGGAGGGGGGCTATAAATAGCCCCCCCCCCCAGTGGGGCGCGGGTTAAGATAAAATTCGACTATTTTGGTTTTTTGTTCAGTATTAAACGGCTTCATGACTGACAGAGCGCTCGAGCCATACAACATAATTTCCATGATTCACGCTTTCGATTGATGTTAAAATTTTACATGTCACGCGCATATTTTTATTTGTACTTCTAATTTAAATTTGGTACTTTTTTCTGGGACACCCGGTAACAAGCTTGGCTGCTATGAGAGCGTTTCTTATCCTCAAGCTATTCAAGATCAATCAAAGACAAAATGCTTGATATTCTGCGCGCCTCGTCATTGTTATGTACTCGAAATTCAAAATTGGTCAACTCCAAACCTTTGGAATCCTCGTCTGCATCCCAACGAAGTTGCTTTTGCTCGGCACAACTGAACAATTTATCTTTTTTACGTCTTAATGTCAAAACACTTCACAATACCTTTAGCATGTCATACCCACATTAATTGCAAAACAGAGCTGTTTCATATCATATCAGACGGATACTTGCTTAGACACCATGTCTTAGAGCTGGGTAGAATGATTATAATTTTAAATGTCATTGAACTCTGCATTCCTACCATGAATTGGTACACAGATGCCTATGTACCTATTACCTAAAGGTATATGTTTATACAATTCTAACTTCATTTTAGATGGCTTCTTGAAAGAAAGGAAGTACATCGTCCTTCATTTTATCGTCCTGGGTGTGGCAGGCAGCTTGGAAATTCAAGTTTTCTGACCTGCATTCATTGCGGGCTGGAAGCTCTAAACTGCAGAACAGAAGCTGCTCGACAATGGACTAGTAACACGCGACATATCTAATAGCTCGTGCAACGCAAATATACCACCGGTGACTGACAACCCAGCATGCCGGCTAAAGACGGACTTTTCTGACATGATAATACTGCCAAACACCTGGGCTGTGACAGCTACGGTGTCCTATTATTTACAGCACTGTTTGCAGGGGCCATGCTGCCGCACAGAAGCTGGACGTCACTATTTGAATCAGTCATAACTTGTCACACAATTTCGCAGTTTATTCGCTGCGACACCGCACTGCAGCATAAAACGGCCATAAACGTCCATTTATTACCGCACTGGGCATCAGCTCTGTAAATATATTACCGGCGTGTCGTTGCATTAACCGCAATTAGGGCAGGGGTCGGACGGGCGACACAGAGTCGGGTTTCCAAGCGAGATGATGACTGCATTGTGAGGCAGCGCAAATTAGCTGCTACAGCGCACGCACTTTGCAACAAGCTCCCGGTGTGCACGCGCACCCTATATCTGAGCAGCGGCCGGTGGCTCGAGCTTACCTGGTGAGCTCCGGGCTGAGCGCGAACCAGCTGCATTCACGTGCGGCCTCACCACTGGGAAAGACGTCGTAAAATAATCGTAAAACTGTCGCCGGCCCGGCGAGGGAGGAGCCTCCTGCTGCCGACCAGCGGGCGACCAATCAGCGACTGCCGTGCAGCGACCTCGCCGTGACGTCACTGGCCGAGTGGGACCGGGTGATTGCAATAGAATGCCGCGATGAGGCAGTAGCGACTGACAAAGTGTCGCAGCGGACATGATAGGAAGGGTGCCATTGCGCACGGCCGACGCAGCAGCGCGCACGGCGCAGGCAAAAACGGCGCACGTGCTGGGCGCGAGCGACGGGCGCGGTGCGGCGTGGTGTGGCGCAGGAGTGGCGTTCCGGGCGGCGGCGATGACGGAGTGGTGCGGCGTAGTGCGGCGCGGCGCGGCGGGTGGTGAACGGAGCGGTGATCGCGGCCCGGCAGCGGCGGCGGCGGCGGCGGCGGCGAGTGGGCTGTGGCGGCAGCGCGGTGACCGAGCTGACGAGAAGAGTCTAGCTGCAGAATCGGTCCCCAAAGGGCCAACGACGGCAAGTGTGGGTGTGTCTGAGAGAAGTGAGTGATTGCGATAAATCACTTATTTGAAACGTTGCTTCATCCGGGACAGGTGATCTCTAAAGAAAGCTTATAGTGTTCATTCAAACTGTGATAGAAAAAAAGATAATGTTTGAATTTGATTGTCTCCGTGTTAAGCAATATTGCAAATATTTGACATTAAAGGCTGTAAGTGAACAGTGCAGCTCCCACCGCGGCGAGGGACTCCAATTCACATTTTGCGGAGTGAGGGCAGCAATGTTCCTGGTGCCCGGAGTGCTGCCGTGCCGTCAGTTCGACGTTATTTATGTATGCAACACTGTCGGCACAAAAGCAGGGCCATTCGTCAGTAGCCGATCTTGCAGCAGCGAGCTAATTTGCATAGCAGGACTAATACATTTTCGCATGAATGTTGTAGTGCCGTATGTCGTTTTGGTCCATTGCTACCGCTCTAGTGTTATACCATGTCCGTCGCGTCACCCTCCACAGCCTAATGCTCCTCATATCAGATGGTTCCTATGACAATGTCATTTTTCCATATGGTTGTTATTAATGTATAGAAGTGATATCCACTGTCGAATCGACTCAGCCTTGAGGCTGGCGGACGCTACCCATTACGGGCACACGACTGAGACGACGGATTATGTTGTTATGCGTGAGGTTATGTGCGGTTACGCTGTGTCTCGACACAGATCTTTATTGCGCCGGGCGCGCTGTTGCGCTGTAACCACGTGTCGTGTCGTGCTACCGTGTCAGCGTCAGGCAATAGACGAACATTGCACCGGCGCATGTATAAATAAGCCACCGATGGCACACTCTCAGACGGCCCATTTACCCGTCCCTGCGGAGCTTTTGAGGCTGATGGAATGTGTGGTTCGGCTCATCATCTCGGGATCACATGCGTTTATCAGCAGACTTTATTACTTTCAGAGCGACTGGGATGGTACTCCGGATAAGACATCAGCTTATGCATGGCCTTACAGTCGGGTGTCATGAACGCTTACTGCACAAATGTACCCAATCCCCTGACGTGCGATTTTCCTTGGTGACTTCATCGCCTCATAGAAAAGTATCTTCCTCTCGCTCTCATCCGAAGGGGCCGAGCAATCGGGGACTGCGGCCGTGCATAGAAAGCTATCACCATATCCAAGTGTATGGGCATTGGGCAGTGGGCGCTCAGTGTAGGGTAAACAACATCACTGGCGCAATGCAGTGAATTATTCAAACCTATTGTCTTGCAATTGCAAATTTTCTTCTGTGAAATGACTATTGGCACAATGTATGATTTTACAATACCTGATTATGAAAATGTGGCGGTATCATGCTAAATCTCTGAGTTTTATTGCGAGGTTACAATAATAATTGGTGCACATTGTCGTCAGAAAGGAATACGAGCTCATCAATTTCATGGAAGCTGAACATAAAATCCAACGCATTTGCTTTCATAAAGCCAAAAATGCATGCTTTAAATCCGCTACTGCAAAGTAAAACGGAAGAGTTATGACATCCAATTGAGAGGGCCTCGTGCATCAAAACTCTGCCCGTCAGGCGTCATATACCATTACGTTTATCTACCAGCGGTCTAAATCAAGCATACAGTTCAAGCTAGAGTCAGCACACATTTGCATACTCGATCCACGCTGTCACGATAATATTTCTGATACTTTGCTATTCAGTGCCTTACGCCATGGCAATTATTTGCCTGTCACGAGCACACATGTCCAATGAGAAGAGGTGTCGCCAGTCCTAACGACTGACAGTTCCTGAATGCACACAAGCTCTGTGAGACAGGCGCCAAAGGGGCTGTGTGGTATGAAGTACACTTCAAACAGCACCATTACAAATGACATGCTAAATCCAGATCAAAGACAGACATAGTTTGGCCCTTCACCAATCACAGGACACAGTGACATTATCTAACATCGTATTTGTGTAATGTTGTGGTGTGAAGCGATAGCTACGTCCTATTCAATTCATTACACAATCTGTTAAAACTCAAATCCGGCTGTTCTGCTTAGCCACGTATTTTCAGGCACAGGCCACCGTCATGCTTATGTCATATAATACCCACAGGCAAATCCCCCAAGCTGCATAAATCCAGCTCCCAGCTAAAAGCAGCGTCATGTTGCGCATTTTTTCAGCTCAGTGACCCCCTCGGCAGCCCCCCCCCTCCTCACGCTGCCACATAGCCTGTGACATGAAGCCGGCACCCAGCGGTAATCCCTCAGTTGAGTGGCCGCTAATCGGCGGCGAATCGATGTCTGCCGCCGGTGGGTGTCAGTGCCGAGTTTCCTTCTGTAGACCGGCGCGTCAGCCCCCCCCCCCCCCGAGCTGCCAGGCCCGGCGCCGGCCAGCCGGCCAGCCTTCCGGCCGACCGTCGCTGATAAATTATGTGTGCGCTATTGGCCAACGGCAGCGATAGAGTGGGGTGCAGGAGAGGGTGTTTTTTCCGCGACCAGAGGACCGCAGGAAGTGAGGATGATATACTGCGCTCAGCTTTGGCCCTGTGCGGGATCTATGATGAGCTTAAGTCTATTCATTGTTGGATAAAATGCATAATTTTCAACAATATTCACATCATTGTCTTTGAAGTGGTAATGCGAACCACTCCATATCAATTATTTATGCTATCAACTGAAAGGTATAGCTGATAAATGGTTCCGGGAAATCTACTAAACACGAGGCAAAGCAAAACGCTCCAAAAATACGATCAAATTTACGATTGTGTCTCCAATCAAACAGGAAAGGCGTCAATAAGTCGAACTTCAAAGTCCACTGGGCGACACTGCACCGATCGGCAATCTGTTGATAGAGATCACAGTCACGCTCGCCTCTCGGAGCCGAAACTGGCTTCGTACAATCGGCAGCCGACTCACAGCAATAGGCTAGCAATGTGCAGCTGGAAATAGGTACGAGAGCGGTATCAGAACACTCAAGTCAGCAAATTTTGTGTGGCTTATCGAAGTTCCTGAGACCCTGCAGACCTTTCGTGACTTCAAAACTTCCCATGCCTTCCCGAATCTCCCTTGTGATTTTGCTAGCTACTGTGACTTTCCCTCTGCTGGAGCTCCGTGATTTCCCAAACGTCTCGTGACCCCTATTTCGTCGTGGCGCCGAGCTGTGATCCAGGAGTTTTGTCCGTATACCTGTTTTTTTTTTTTTAGCTCAGGGACAGCGGAGGTTATTGACTGATAAGGCGTGACTGGCAACCACGCCTCCTCAAAAGCAGTGCTTTGGTCAATACGTATCAACATTTACAGTGAAAATGCAACAATCATCGAGCGACACAATAGCCAGCTTCAAAAGATCCGCCACGAGTCGGTCCTTTATGACAGTGCGACCAGTTGCCTCACCATCCTTCTCCTGCGCCCCCGTCAGTGCCCACAGCACAAAGTCACGAGTCACGACCGTGTGCCGCACTCATGGCTGGAGTCGGTAACGGTCTGTGACAGCTCTACGGGATCACAGCGTCCAACGGCGGGGCAGTGTCGTGCCGGTATTAAGCTCTCAGCGGCGGCAGACACCAGCGCCCAGACAACAGATAGCAGCACCTAGCGTCGTCAGGAGCCAGCGTCCAGCTGTGGCAGAATTCAGCGGCCAGCCAGCAGTAACAGACTGACACAGAGAGACAGACAGACAGGGCAGTAGTGCCCAGAGGCAACAGATATCAACGCCCAGCAGTGACACATACAAACACCAGACCGGCGATGACAGGCACCAGCGCCCAGACCACAGACCTAGCCAGAGGTGACAGGCTACCCAGGCAGGTGACAGACACCACCGCTACCACCGCCGCCGGTGGCCGACGGTAGCGCCGGCCGCCATGTCCGACACGGGAGGCAGCCCTTTTTACACGGCCGCGCCTTGAATGTCAATACAAGCACGTGTCAGATGCCATCTGACCGCCTCTGGGAGGTGCCGTACGACGCCGTGACAGCCTCCCGGCCCGGTACGACGGACCAGCGCGGCAGACACAGCGACATATAGCGTATTGACGACACAGGAGATGTGTGAAAATGTCGATGTGTCGAAGTGTATGAGCCGTAGCAAACCATCATCAATGAACTCATTTGAGCAGGGAAGGGAGCTTGATGCTTTCCGATAACTCTATGTCATCAGCCAGATATTCAATTTGTCATCACGCATTACAAAAGCGGCATTCTCGGTATATAACGTACTTACCTACATACGTAAACAATCGCCAGATGAATGAACCAAATGAGGTGATCTTTCGAGAGTGTCTTATTGCAATATGAGTAATTTCTTATCAGCATCCAATTAGCAGGGGCGGAATCGCCAGTCGTGTGTGAAACTGGTTCTCCAGCCCGCTGCACTGGTTGCCACAATCGCAATCGCAGGCGTCAGAGAGCTCGATTGATTCCGGTGATAGTACCGGGCGGTGTCTTTCGCGCCGCCGCAAACGAACTAAAAAAACGACAAAAGTACGTGCGCTCAGAGCACTTAAGAAGTCAGATTAGACCCTGACAAGCGCGAATCGAGAGAAATATGACTGGTAGTCTGCTTCTGGGAGTTTAAAATCACCGCCCACTGAGTTTCCCATAAATCTTTGCCAATCAGGCGGACTGGAGGCGTCAAATCCACATAAACTGAGCGCCCAAGAGGTTTGGAGCGAACACCTAAAACTATTCAGAGTCTTTGTGAATAGTTTTATTCTTCGCATTCTTGTGACATATATGCAAAAGAAGCTTTGCATATAAGCCGATATTTCTATCGTTTCAGGTATATCGATCATATTTGAAAGAACCGTCATTTGCGGTGAGCCTTTTACTTTTGGCCTCTATACTCTTATGTTCACTTGGTCCCTGTCATTAATGGGAAACCGACACTCGATCTGCTATTACTTTTCAGGTCGATTAAGCCATAAAACACTGAATGACATTCGGAAGAGCCCGGGATGGGTTGAATTCGACCTGATGTTCGTAATTAAACGTGCGGCAGTTCTATGATGTCGGGGCAATCACAACGAAATAGATTAGTGCCATCAGATGCCGATGACAGGAAACCGAGAGACAACCCATGCTCGGGCTGGCGAGCCCGGCTCACAGACGATGACGAAATTGCCGCAGCAGAATTACCCTTTATCCTGAGACCGACACATAGAAGGGCTAAACGCAGCGGTCTGTCAGATCTTTTATGACACCAATCGGCCGCTCCGTCCATTTTTGGGTCGGCGGATTCGTTTGACCGAAGGTGTTAAAATGTTCTGAATGGGAATTTACTGCTCTCTGTTCTGGCTTTGTGTGGGGAGACTGACGGGTGAGAACGGCAGACTTTTGTGAGGTGATATGGCTCCGAGGGCGGTATTAGATGGACAGTGGTAAATGAACAAAAAATGAAGGGCTTGGCTTCAACCACGGTTTTACGGAAAAGTTTTTCAACACGCTCAGATATACAACCAACCGTTCAAAGAACGGGACCGCTTATCGTTGACACATATTGATCTATGACTCAACCAACACCTATACCAGTTTCAATGGCCCGCAATTTAATTGTGTCTTCCTGATAGCAGCACCAACCCGGATTACCAATGAAAATTTTGATCGCGTCGAAAACGGATATCAGCATTGAGAACTGTTACTGGTCACGGACATGCTGCGGATATTCCTTGTCTCAGCTGGCGGATAACTCAGCTGCCAAAGAAGACTCCTCAGTGCTCAGAGCTTTGCAGCACTGGAAATCCTTGGTCAAAGGTCAAGGTCATCTGTGTTCTGATGTCTCCTGAGTGAACGAAAACGTGCGGCAGTTGACTGAACAGTGTTGCATCATCGGGACAAGATTCATTATTACTAAGTTCCAAGCCCAGGAGGCGAAGAGTCATTTGACTGAGTTCAGCCAGCATCCGTCAGTAGAAAACATACTGCCAAAATTGAGGTGCCATATGGAGGTAAAAATGGTAGGGTAATCAGTTCAGGCCACTGCACTGGTTGGATCACAAATCAGCTTTTGGATGGTAGACACTACCAACTTATGGGTGATTTTGCTCATATAATTCAATGTTGACTCTTTCACTAAGCAATGTTAGCAAAGGGTAGACAGGCCTTGAACATGACAAGGGACATGTCAAAATTCAAAGTCGGCTGGTGAGAGTAAAAATAACTGTGTGTCTGAGTTAGCTTTATTGAGCTGATAGGTTTTTATTAGCCGTTTTCACGACGGGCGATCTGGCGAATGCACCTAATTTGACCAAATCTCTACCAAATTTCTTTTACAACAAATATCTTTATATCATGAATTTATTTCAGTGCTTAGAACGAAAATAATGTCTGATGATTTAAAAAAGGTCTATAAGGATCTGTGCAGCCCAAACGGACAGCTTTTAAGAAATACAATTAACCTAATTTGACCAAATCTACGCCGAATATGCACCGAATTTGCACCAAATGTGTACCAGATAGCCGTCGTGAAAACGGCTACTGTGAATTCATGGTTGAATTTGTATATCCTGTATGCAGTCAATAACTATATGTTGTGTTTTTTTACAGCTTTCTAGCCCTAGCAGGCTTTGGGGTAAATGAAGCAAGTTTCATGTTTAATGAAACACGTGATCATTTCGTGTTAATGCAAGCCATTCATTCACTTTGAGATGTATTTTGCCATTCATTGCCTTCACCATCCCGAATGGTGACTTTCTTACTTTTCCGGCATTTATTGCAATGCTTTACAATGATGACTTATTCACCAAGCCAATTGCGTAAAAAGGAAATCACAGTGCGTTTCGATAGGTAGTCAATATCTTTAGTGTCACACATTGATTATGAAAGCGATTACTCTGCTTTCGTTGCTTTATTCATGTCATGCCAGGTCATGGTGCACGGTAGCCCATTGTTTGCGATAGACTCATACCTATTCCTGGAAGTAACATCTCGCAGCGTATTTGGGTGGCCCACTCTGAGAGCCCCGGCCCGCCGCAGCAGAGCGGACTAATTAATGACTAGCTCTGAGCTCATCGGGCCATCGGCGGCCCATAAAACTGTCGTTAGCATACGTCGTGTCCAATGTCGACCGTCCGTCATCCCCCTCCAACAGCCGCAGTCGTCTGCTGTCGGCGCATGCGCACAGCGGTCAGCTAGTGCCGCCGGCCGCCGCGACCGGTCCAGCGAGAATAAATCATTGTCAGATCTATAAAGCAGATTCTGGAGTCACAACACAACAGTAATTACTCTAATGGATGCGATAGATTAAATTTATGATCACAGCGACCGAAAACAAGTATGCTGCCGGAATCGGCACTGGCGCTCTCGCCGCTATCAGCTCGACCTGTTGGGGCGGCGGCGGCAGCCGGGGCTTCTGGTGCGGGCATTCCGGGACCGAGCTGAACCGACACTCGAGCCGCGCGCGCCGACCGATTCTGGACCGACTAATGGCACCGGTAATTGACGCCGGCCTGCGATATGCGCCCTCCTTCAGTCGACGCCGACGCCGACGCCGCCGGTGTGCTCTAACGTGACCCCAACGGGACCGAACAGGGCCGGAAGCGGCACCGGCAATAGCAGACATCGGCCGGTGGAGTGGACATTGGACGTCGCGGGACCCGGGCCGTTTGTAGTGGCGTGTGACGGCACACGGCGCCGGCTTGTACGGAATCCAGTCGGCCGGCGGCTCGGAGACACAAATGTTTACTCGTCTGTGTCGCCCCGATCCATTTAGATACAGAGATCTCCCGAGATGAGACGCAGAAAAGACATGCTTGTAATGGTGGATGTCTGGTAAAAAGGCACCGGCGACACGGCCAGTTCGGGTGTCAGTTGGCGCGGCTGAAAAACTACACCTCTACACCGGATCGATTACAAACGCCACTGGCTCGTTAGTCTGACGAGGGACATTAATAACGCCACCGCCGGTCTCCGGGCTGGGTTAAAAACAGCACCGGCAGCAGCACTCACCTTTTGCCGGGGCTCCCGGGATGTGTTTAGAGGTGTCGGCAGTGTGATTTCGGCAGGTCTGAGACGTGTCTCCACAAACTAGCGGCGGCAGATCAATTCTGAAATATGACGTGTACGTCAAATTTTGCACTATAGGTAGCTGGTCAGTGTGGTCAGGACAATGATGTTCTGGAATCAACTAACTGATTCACAAAAGAATAATGTACCAAATTCGATGAATTAGGTATCACACCACGAACGTCTTTGTCTTACAATTATAGTTTCAACCACCTTCAGGCAACGTCAGTGCTCATTATTATCGATAATGAGGCTCTGCGTCATCTGTGTATGTTCCCCATGTGATATCCATCATCAGACACGAGGAAGTCCAGCCGCTAATATGGCCGCCAGCCCGGCGGCCACTGTCGTTCACGCCTGCAGTATTAGCGGATGGTCCCACGGCTTAACCGGGAGTAAAACTGCACACAGAAGCTTGTATCGGTGGCCTCAACATGTGCTTACATGCTGCTACCAGTCTCCTTCAGTGCCGTGACATCTAACACTGCGTTTTTCTGCCCGGTCCATTTTTGCAGCCGGGTTTTGTTCCGTGCAGTGAGGGGAGCCCAGTTCGGGGGCTCAACATTTCCCGAAACATGGGGTACACACCACTACGAATTGATGTTCCTCGCAAGGACATGTGACGGGCCCCATTCAGTTTTTAACCGCAAACACGTATACAACTCGAGACGAGCACCTAAACTTTCAAAGAAAGTGGATCGTTATTAACGCCAAAACGACCTAAGAAAGTGAATCGTTATTGAAAGTGCTCCGAGGTAAAACCGACTTATATAATTAATTCATTTGGATGAAACGGCACTGCAACATTAGCTAAATGCTAATCGTGAACACCTCTAAATCTGCAGACACCTGCTCTCTGTAGACGGTGCATATAGACGATAGAGGTCTATAACACCAACTATAGAGGTCTATACCAACAACAGAGGTCTATGGCTAAAGCTTTTACATTGACACAAAGCTATCACTTAAACGAATGTAAGCCCGCGCACCGACGGGGGGCGGTTAACCGCCCCCCCCCCCCTCTGAGGTTTTTCACGAATGGCTAAAAAACCGCAGTGCGTAGCGCCGCGAAATTTGACATGACTTTTTCCTCATCAAGTTTACACATGGTGTGCAGGTTTGAGCTTCTTACCTTTCAAGATCAGGTCACCAGGTCACTCTGAATGACCCAACCTGAGGCCACTTTTTTGCAAGTTTGTCACCGTGTCAGAGAGCTCTGACAGTAGCTCTACACACGGTTCGTCGGAAGGTCATCTCAGGCTCAAAAGAAACGGTATATACCATTCGAAAGCTGACGGAGAGCTGAATCCAAAAATGTAATTTCTATCAAAATCGATCGATGGCCTTTTTTGAAAATTGCGTTTTTGTAAAAACTTAATAACCTTTTATTCAACGGGCTGTCCCGGACATTCTTGAAAACATAAACATGCATTATTGAGTTCCAGTGAAAGCTGAACGCCAAAAGAACAATATTTAGCGAAGCAATATTTCCAAACATTAATATGCGTCTCCCACAGCCGAAAATAAGGCGCAATCACACATCTCAGTGTCACGATGGACCAAAGTCAGCCACACAGAAGCGTGAAATGACCCTTATCGACTCGCAGACCTGGCGCTCTCGGCTCGCCTGACCGGCCACGGAAATAACGTTCGGCTCTCGTTTTACTAAACAAATGTCATATTTGTCACTTTAACTGTCCACATCGCTATAAAAGTTATTCAGGATACCTGGGAAGAAAATTCATTGTTCTGCGTGATTTACAACATGCTTTAATTTACATTTTTCTTATACATGTTTTGTTCCATCCAGCTGCGATCAGTGCCCGCGCAGGGGAAGTGAGCGGGGTTTCACTGTCAGAGGCTGTACTGGTGACAGCTGCTCGGCCGTGCGACCGGTCAAAGGTTACCCTGCCCCGCCGGGCGCTACCCCCACTCCACCCGAGCTGAGGCCGGTGCAACCTCTGACATTTCAGCGCGGCCAATTTTCCTTATATGGGCATGATACCAAGCTCAATTGAGCAAAGTAGACATGATCAAATGCAAATTAATGCATGATGTGAAAATGACAGAACAATGAATTTTCTTCACAGGTATCCTGAATAACTTTAACAGCGATGTGGACAGTTAAACTGACAAATTTGACATTTGTTTAGTAGAACGAGAGCCGAACGTTATTTCCGTGGCCGGTCAGGCGGGCCGAGAGCGCCGGGTCTGCGAGTCGATAAGGGTCATTTCACGCTTCTGCGTGGCTGATTTTGGTCCATCGTGACACTGAGCTGTGTCATTGCGCCTTAATGTCGGCTGTGGGAGACGCATATTAATGTTAGGAAATATTGCTTCGCTAAATATTGTTCTTTTGGCGTTCAGCTTTCACTGGAACTCAAAAATACATGTTTATGTTTTCAAGAATGTCCGGGACAGCCCGTTGAATAAAAGATTATTAAGTTTTTACAAAAACGCAATTTTCAAAAAAGGCCATCGATCGATTTTGATAAAAATTACATTTTTGGATTCAGCTCACCGTCAGCTTTCGAATGGTATATATCGTTTCTTTTGAGCCTAAGATGACCTTCCGACGAACCGTGTACAGTAGTTTGTCACCGTGTCAGAGAGCTCTGACTGTAGCTCTACAGTAGATGACGGATGCCTTTAAAAATCGTAGGATGTAATGAGGTAATTGATAGCTACAATTTAGATATATCGGAATTTTGATATCGATGACCTAAGGTCAAGTCAATTTTTTGACCTCCCCATTATAAGTCAATGGGGGTAAAATCAACCCTCTGTTTTTTTTTCACTATAAAACGCGTCGGAATGACCCAATATACCATGAGTGACTTCATATACGATCAACCAGGACTACATTGAGGCCTCTTTGCTCTGGGCAGCTGTAAGGTCATGTGACGTCATCAAGGGTCACCAGTTTTTTTTTTGCTAATAACTCCTTACAGGAACAAAATACAGCCGCGCGGGTGGTCTCATTGTGTTCAGCTCGTCAAGGCGCATCGAATAATATACATGACCTTGAGGTTACATGACCTGAGGTCAACCTTTGACCTTACCCTTTCGAAGTCAACACATAATTGATTCGATGCGGATTGACGAGAGGATCACGATGGTGCCATTAGTTTTTCCCTAGCTTTGCTACTACGAAAGTTATTTGAGAAAAACTCCTCATTTCTAGCGCCGCCATTTTAACTTTTTGCCCCCTGCGACGTCATCTTTAACCTGACCTGAAAATAACCTCAGTAAAAATTGTAGACCTTGTCCGTGCGTACTCCATGCCGTTTACCGCGTGTCGCTATCTTGTTCCGTTCTCGAGATCTCAGGGGGGGGGCGGTCACCCCCCCCCCGTCGGTTCTAAGTTGGCGTGGACCCCCGTCGGTGCGCAGGTTAGTTGAAGAGGAAGAATTCAAGTAGCTGCAGGTTGTTTGAAACAGAGAATTTTATTCGTTAGAATTGTGTTTTCTATATTGATAGCGAGTAAAATAACATTCATGCCGGTAAAATCATCAGCTGATACTTTTTTGAATCCTTTATGTAAAAATATAGCTCCGGCCCTGGAACAACTTTGCTTGCGCAGACCAGCGCAGACGGCCGTACTACATCCTGCTTTTGACATGACTCAGAAATCGATGTTATTGATCGAGGGTTCTTAGGATATGCAAATACACATGTCTGAATCACTCCACTCTTTTAGCCATACAAATAAATTACCGGCGTCGTGATGCAGTATATCTACACAATTTTGACCCACATGTTAGATTACTTTCATCTACATACATTCATGCTAGATTATCTGAATTTTCACTCTCGATAATATACACGTTCCTTGGGAAAGTTCGTTAGGAAGCCAGACGCTTTGTAAGAAGAGTGCCTATTTATCGATCTAAAATACTGGCGTCAGCTCGCTTATGACGCTATTTCATATTTTTGTATCCAATTCAATAACATGGGACTCATAAAGCCTGTCTTCGAAACATCCAGCTGCGCCGAAACAAAGAGCTGCGCCGGTACCTGCTGAGCGCTCAGGTCACATAGTGCATCGTGTAGTGAACGGAGCATGGTTTGTCACCGAATGTGGTATGTGTGCTACTCCCTGTGTAACCTTGTGTACTGCTGACGTACTACCCGGAATAGCCACGGTGTCCGTGGATGGGTAGCGAACTGTGAAATAAATAAATAAATCCACTGAACACAATATTCAAGGTTATATTCAAAACCGAGGTTGATCTTTCGGGCTAGGTCTATGACCCAAAAGTCGGAGAAATCGGATTTGCTAGAACTTCTCAAGGAGCGGTTATAATTGTTTTCAGGGTCCCAATTTTGAATGTCATACGAATGTAAGTTCTGATCAAAGATGATGTAGGTATTCATTTATGCATTTAGGGTAGGCTGGGTCAGGTCAGGTCAGGTCAAGTCAACCAGAAGTTGTCTCGTCGGCTATCCATACTAGGTGTGAGCCAGAACTGACAGCTTCGTACCATACTGCAAAGTGCAAAGGCGCCATAACTTCTTCTCAAATGTTCACATAATTGCTAAATTCGAATTCAGCTCCAACAACTACCAATAATAGTTGCAAACCTCGGAAACGTCACCCAGGGCTACCAAAGTTCAATGAACTTGACCTGACCTTCCAGTGACCTTACTGCATGACACAAACATAATTGCACATATCATGTATACGCGTTTTTCGGGCTTAGCCTAACCAAATAAAACACCGTTTAATTTATCCTAACGAAACTTAAGCTAACATTTTTGATCGTTTAATTGCAAGTTAGCCTAAATCTGGCTTATGCTGATATGAAGGGAATATGAAGGAGCCGTTGAAACAGAGCCAGAAAACTTCGCCACGGTTATCATGCGACCAGCTGAACTTTCCGCAGAGATTGGTGCTACGGAGTTGAAGAGGCTAGTCCACGGGCGTAAGTAATTCTTTTTTCCAATCAAAGTAAGGCGCTATACGGAGTATCTCCCAGTGCGTCATTGTCAAGTGACTTACAACACCTTTATCCGGCCAGCTGTCTGCGAGGTAAAGTGG